AAGTTTTATCTTCAGATAGTTATCAACCAGCGATTGAGATTGTTACCTAGACAACAAATACGTCCACTAAATATAAGATTATTAGCTTGGTTTAATTACAAGCTACAAAATGCTATTGGGCTTAACATGCTCTGTAATTCAAATATTTCATTAATTTGTATTGTTGGCTATTTGTTAGTATTTTTAGTTGTTGTTATTGTTGTGTTTTACTCTAAAGACAAAATAACTAACTTAAATAATTACCCAGCTTTAATTTTTAAAGGATACTAGTCAAAGAAAACTTTCTTTTTAAATTTGTATTGTTCTGACTTAGAAAAGAACCATGATGCCCAAATTTTGAAATATTATCTGTGGTTGCTAAGGGAGCTCACTCTTTTTCTTCAAATTTAACCCATATTTGCAGTGAAGAGGGTTCAATTTAGAAAAAAAGAGTGGGATTTCAGTCAGAGCAGAAGAAAACACCTGCCACTAATCCCGAGTGCACAAGTGGGGTCTGCGTGTCCGAAGGAGCCCCCACAGCTGTGACCTCTGCTCCAGTGCTGTCTCAAGCCGGCAGGTGCCAGGACGCCATTCTGTCTGCCCAGAAACAACCCCTTTTGAAGCAGCAGTATTTATTGCTCAGTTGTGAATGCAAATTTTCACGTGTTCATGAATTAAGCATCCTTGCTTATGGTGAGCTGGCCAAAGAGTTGTAGTTGACGTGGGTGGCTTTGGCATTAGTAACTGGATTTGGAGAAGAAAGAGTCTCTGTTCCCACTAAAAACACTGCAAAATAATTTCAGAAAAGCTTTGACCACAAAGGTGCCACAGGACCTAACGAGATGCTTTAGAGGACTGGTGTGACTGTGGACTTGGCCTCTGAAATCTCACCAGCAAAAGCAAACAAAACTTTAAGGAGTAGAAGCCTTTTAGGAGGGACTAGCCATTGGGGGGAGCCCTGGTGGCTCAGTGGTTAAGAGCTCAGGCTGCTAACCAAAAGGTTGGCAGTTAGAATCCACCAGCCACTCCTTCAAAACTCTATGGGGCAGTTCTACTCTGTCCTCTAGGGTCACTATGAGTTGGAATCAACTCTACAGCAACAGGTTTTGAGCCATTGGGGAAGGGTGTCACTCAGTAACAGCTGAACTTAAAGTAGTTGGATTTTCTATGGGTCATTTTTCTTACTACTGGTATCTGGGAAGTGTTTGACTTTGACACTAGACTGCTTAGCTTTTTGAGGACAAGGGTCATGTCTTTCTAAATCAGCTTTCCCTACCATACTTTACACCAGTGTCTAGAACATTGCCAAATAATTCTTTGTAGGCATTCAACAAATGTATTTAAAAATCAAAATAGAGTTAAATAACATGCTACTTAAATTAAGTCTGGAGTCTCCATTGTATTTCTTAAAGTTGATGGTAGATATCCCCTCATTTTTCTTTTCTTTGGATTTCCTTTCCCCTACCAAAAATAAAATCCTACTTGTATAATAGCATTAGTGAGCATTTGGGGTGTGTTAAAAATGACCAAATAAATTCCTTAAACCTAATTTTACAGAAACAGTCACACAAACTGTACTCCCTACACACTGCTTGATTTACTGAAACCATTAATAAAAACAAGAATAAAAATTTTACTGAAAACATTAAGAAAATCATTTTCTTAGCTTCATTTTTATTTAAAAAATGGTAAAGAATTTTTTTGAGTAAGAAAGAAAAGGGTTTTGTCAGGTTGATTCCATTACCTTAGCCCTGTAGGCCTCTCCCTGACCTTTCAGTTCCCCTTTCTCTCATTTTGAACTTGAGATACTGGGGCCAGTTTCCATGACACTGTAGGAAATGCAATTGGGAGGCATCTGTTGAAGGCAGGCACTGGATACATGGGCATCATTTTTTCTGACAATTTAGTTCTTGAGCTGTGTCACGATACTTTATGTCCAGAACCAGTGCATTTAAAGACATGTGGACTGGGTTAATATTCTGGCTCAGTCACTTACAAGAAGCCTACCCTTGAGTTTTATTTTTGGCATCTATAAAAGGAAGAGGGGCTTTTGATGGTTCACTGGTAGACTTCTCACCTTATGTGGAGACCCACGTTCAATTCTGGCCAGTGCACCTCATGCACAGCCACTACCCATCTGTAAGTGGAGGCTTGAGTGTTGCCATGACGCTGAACAGATTTCAGTGAACCTTCCAGACTAAGACAGACTAGGAGAAAGGCCTGGCGATGTACTTCTCCAAATCAGCCAATGACTACCCTATGGATCACAACAGTCCAGTTGGCAACTGTTCATGGAGACGGTGCAGGACCAGGGAGCGTTTCGTTCTGTGGTGCTTGGGGTTGCTGTGAGTTGGAGGCTGACTTGACCGCAGTAACAACAGCAATGTAAAAGGGAAATCGTAATACTTTCCTCACTGGGTTGTGGGGAAGATGAAATGTGGTAACACGTGAAAGTTCTTTGCTAAAGGTAGAATATACAAAATAGGAGACAGGTGATTGTTATTATTAATTTCATGATAACCTCACAGCTGTTACCAGAAGTGCCTCAAATGAGAGAAGGAATCTGGTACTTTTCCTCTGTAGATGATACTTAGCTGAGGAAGATGTTTTGGTAGGCAGAGTTTTCCTTGTTCTCACCTTCAGTGACATAACAGTCTCCCCTGGGACCTAAGAAGAAGGTAGTTTGCTAGAGCCCTAGCATTACTTCCAGTCTAGACTTCTTCCTGTCTCCCCACCCTACTAAGGATGGAGGCAAGAGATTGATGAAATGCCCCAGTTCCTCGAGTGGACTGACCACGGAAAGAAACATAACTTCATCTTTAAGAGCTAGAGAAGACAACATCTTTGATGCCTCTAGAGTTAGCATTTTCTACCAGCACTTTTGTTCAAAGATTAAAAAAAAATTGCAGTGTGGCTTGAGAATAGACCAACTGCCCAGTGGAAACAAATAGAGATTTCTGAAAGACCCATATATATACGGTTACCTGACTGATGACAAAGTTACCACTGTACTATAATGGAGAAAAGATGTGTTTTCAGTAAACGATGGTGGGCTAATTTGATATCCATATGGGAGAAAAGGTATCTTGACTTCGACCTCACATCATATATAAAACCAATTCTAGATGAATTCAGATATAATATGAAAGATAATACAATCAAGCCTTAAAAAGAATGTCTGCCTTGAGCCTTGTGCTCTTTTAAGAACTGCCTCTATGGGATCAAATTGACAGTAGCAACTCAAAAGATTAGATAGGAACCTTAGGGAGGCAGTGAATTTATGTTAATGGGGGAGGAACAACTCAGAAAAAGAGGGTAAGAATGGTTGCAGCACTTGATATAATCAATGTCACTAAACAGTACATGTAGAAACTGTTGAATTAGCGTATGTTTTGCTGTGTATATTCTTAACAACAACAAAATTAATAAAATTTTTTAAAAATCATAAAAAAAACAACCAGTAAAGCTTATTGCTTTTGGATTAAACATAGAACAACCTCTTCATGATCTTGGATTAGGCAAAGATTTTTTAAGCAGGACGTACAAAGTTGTAATTCTGAGGAGAAAAAATGATAAATCGAGTTATATTAAAATTAAGAACTTCTGTCCATCAAAAACACCATTGAGAGAATGAAAAGGCAATCCACAGAGTGAGAGAAAATGTTAACAATAATTATATATAATCAAAGACTCATATCCAGAATATGTAAAGAACACCAGTCAATCTCTCTCTCTCTCTATATATATATATGTGTGTGTGTGAAAATCGGTATGTATATGTATAATACATAACATAAAATATATAAAGAATATATACAAATCAATAGCACAACTCAGTAGAAAAAGGGCAAAAGATGTCAACAAACACTTCACGAAAAAAGAATATCAAAATGACTGATAAATGTTTTTAAAAGTGTTCAACTTAATTAATCACCAGGAAAATACTATTTAAAACTATAATATGAAACTGCCAGGCACCCACCTGAGTGTCTAAGATGAAAAACTAAAAGTTGGTGATGATATGTGAGAACTGAAATTCTCATACAGTACAGATGGGAGTGTAAATTGTTACAACCACTTTGGAAAACTCATTGGCAGTGTCTACTTAAACTAACTTTGGCCATGTTATCAGGAGGGATCAGTCCCTGGAGAAGGACATCATGCTTGGTAAAGTAGAGGGTCAGTGAAAAAGAGGCTGACCCTCAACAAGATGGATGGACACAGTGGCTGCCACAGTGGGCTCAGACATGGCAACAATTGTAAGGATGGTGCAGGACCCAACTCAACAGCACCTAACAACAACTAAGATTAAATATATGTTTACTCTATAACCTAACAATTCCACTTCTAGGGTTATACCCAACAGAAATGCATATACTTTTTTTTTTTTTACCAAATGAAATGTACTTGAATGTTCATAGTAGCAATATTTGTAATAGCCAAAACCTAGAAAGTCTGGAAATAAATGGTTGCTAACAGTAGGATGAATAAATAAATTATAGTATATTCACACATTGGAATATTATACACAGTAAGAATGAACAGTCTAAAACCACACACAGAATTATAAGTAAAATTTACACATAGTGAGCAAAAGAAGCCAAACACATACTGTATGATTCCATTTATAAAATACAAAAACAGACAGACTAACCTGTGCTGTCAGAAGTCAGGATCATGGTTATGGGTAGTGACAAATTGTCAAAACAGGGGCTTCTGGGTTGCAGACACTGTTTCTTTAGCTGAGTGCTACTTGATGAATGTGTTCATTTTGTGAAAATTGATATAGCATATTATATACTTGTAACATGTACTTTCCTGTGTGTGCGTCTATTCACTTATTTACCATAATTACCATTACCATAAATATACCATATTCACAACTATAGTTTAGAACCCAAAATTTTGACAGAGCTGTCTCTGTTCTGTTTACATGTATCTCATAACACTAGCTGATCTATTCAAAGTACAATAATTTTTTATTAAAAAATATTTTTTCCTTTTTCTGTTTCTTTTTTCAGGGCCCTCCTGGTCCAAAAGGTGATAAGGTAAGAATTATGAGAGAAACAAATTGCATTAGTGGAAATTCATATTGGCATGACCTATACCATGTTACACTGTGATCTTTTAAAAATGAGCATCACATATAGACTTTGTGCTAAAGCTGATCATCTCATCTTCCTATTCTACAGGGAGAACAAGGTGACCAGGGACCTCGGGTAAGTTGTCCTCTTCCTACCCTGGGGAGAAAATTGTTTTCAGCTCCAAACTCATTGATTGAAGGTACCTGGTTTCATAACTGCTTTTGTGTTGCATAGATTAGTAATGGCTGGCAAAAATACCACACCACTTGTAAGTGATAAAGATTCAATAATAACTAATGTGTATATCCTGTTGCATTACTTAACTTGATGCCTATAAATGGAACATGCTACAATAATTAGCCCTATTGCTTAAGGAGCCAGAATCACTTCTGAAAGTCAACAACAGCCACCTTTCCTATGGCTCTTGGGTCCTTCAGAGATGTATGCATTCTTTTGCAATATAGAGGCCACATGGATTTCTATGGAATTTGGCCTTTTTCTGCAGTTAAACTTCATGTGCTATTGCATAAATATGTTTTCTTATAGATGATGAAATTATTCATGTATTTTATATTTCTTCATCATAAGTTTGAATAATACTTACTTGAATTTCTGATTTTTTATAGATCTTTAGCAGATAAAGGGTATAATACACTGTAGCTTTCCAAGGAGGAGGGTTGTTCGTTTATTCTTCTCAAATGTGGCCCTTTTAACCATTATAACACAATGGTGAATGCTTTGTTGTTACCTTGGTAGTGCCAAGTCCTCTGTTTCACATCTGTGCCTTATTACCCAAATGTTCAGACATACTGTTCCAATGATGTAGTGGCTCCGTTCAGACATACCTCTCAATTTTCTCATGTCACTATGCACCAAAGCAAGTATTCGGTTAAAGAAAGCCTTTTTTTTTCTTTTCACAGTAGAAAAGCACATTTAAAACTTTCAGGTTGAAAACAAATTATGTAGATCTTTCTATAAAATGCACTGTGCTTAGTTAATTATTGAGTTCATTTATACTGCAGTAGAGATTTTATTGCAAAAGGTGCAGCTGATGCAAATTTGAAAGGTTCGTAGTCTCGTTATCTCTTTGTGTTTCCCAAACTAGATAAAATTTACGCCGTGATTTACTTTCCCTTCTATTCCTCAGCTATTTATTAACATAGAAATAATGATTATGCCTCAGAGCGCTTCATTTTGCATGGCAGTTATTCTAGCTAATGGCTAGCTTCTAGCTAAGAGCTCATCTTAATGGTCAAGGGGATTAAACATGCAGTCTGCTGTCATGGGTGTGAATGGAATGAAACTCTCATAACCTTAAATGATTAGAATATAGCCACTTGCTGGGTGTGTGGTGTTTATTTCACATGGCACGTCTCCATGTATTGAGTATGGTTGCTGTCTACACACAATATCAAAATCACTCAACTTGCCCTTTCCAGGTAAGAGGGAAACAGTTTCCATTCTGAGAAATCTCCTTTTGGCAAAGGCAGCTAAGGGGTGCTTCACAGCTTAGCTGTCATCAGTATGCATGCAGTCCTCATTTTCAGAAAGGTGTGTTGGCTTTCATCATTCCAAAGAGTGATGATTGATTATAAAGCTAGGCCAATTTTTTCAGGATGAAACCTGAAACCATGAAATTCACCTGGTTTCATGTTGCATTACAGACTAAGACTTGGACTAGGTTCCTTAAAAGTTTGGCCAAAGTTCATGAACTACTTTGACAAACCCAGACTGCCTTTCATACACATTTCAGCCAGTTTGCACACCAACCGAGGCCAAGTCTCACACGATCCAGGGGCCACGTAGCATTTCAGGTGGAAAGTGGCAAAAATTGATCTCATTTTCTCTTGGATCTCGCCTTGTATTGAAGAAATTTGGATTGAATTCATAATGCAGGATGAATCTTCTTGGGTAAGAATCTTAAGTGTCCTAGGAAATATTGGATGCGATCCCTCTGAATTGGCTGTCTTTTCTAGGATTCCTAATTTAGAAACAAAGCAGGTCACATTCAGTGCTCTTAGACTTTTATAAACAATGCTTTGTAGTAAGATAGTATTAGGCATTTAGTAGAAAATTTATCATCTCAAGATAGTAAGATTTTTGTAATAGGAAGGGTAGTAATGAAGGTTTTATATTTCCAGAAGGATCACAAGTGTCCTAGAACTGGAAAAGTCTTCAATTTAATGAAAATCAATTTTATCCACATCCTCTGTTCAGGTACAGCATTCCAGCTGATGCTGGCTGGAAATTCTCTACTTTAAAATATAGATAGATGTTTGTGTTTGAGTATTCTTTCCATTTTCATCCTGTCATCATTGATTTTGAATTGCATTTTTTACCATTTGTTTTTAGTGATTTGTTTCCTCCCTTAATTAACTTAACACTACAACCCTTCAAACTTCGTCACCTCCGTTCTTTGTTAGATGACTTTCCTTTGTGGGACCTTTGCTGTTTGCTTGAATTTATCCTTCTTTCTTTGGCTCCTTAAGTGCCAGACAGGAATATGTTAAGCCCATAATATATAAAGCAGGAAAAACTTGAGGATAATACAGGGATTAAGAATGTGAAATTATTTTGAAACACTAAGACATATATTTCACAGTACACACTGAGTATCTACCATGTGCGAGATATTGTGCTTAATGCTGTAGAGATTACAGATCTATTCACTTCTCTATGTCTCTTCTACTTCCCTCTGTCTCTTCTACTTCCACTGAATTCAAGCTCTATTATCTCATGTTCTTGGTTTCTGCAGTAGTGTTCCAATCAATCTTCCTGCTTCCACTCTTGACCCTGGAGAATCCATTCTCTACACCACAGCCAGAGAGATCATTTTACATTGTAAATTAGATCATATTACTCTCCTGTTTAAGCCTTAGAATGAAATCCAAACTGCTTTCCTTGGCCTGCATGAACCTTCATGATCTGGCCCTTGCCCATCTCTATATCCTCCTCTCCCACTGTACATCCCCTCCGCCCATTATACACCAGCCACACTGGCCTCCATGCGTTCATCAAACATACTATGCTCACTCTCACCTCAGGACTTTCTTTTTCATTTGCCCTCTTCCAGTCTTCTTGTGATTAGGCTTTTCTTATTACTGAGATTCCTTCTCAAATGTCACCTACTCAGGGAGTACTTTCCTTACTATCCAATCTAAATCTGAAATTATCCTATTTTGTTCTATATTTGGTTGCTTATGGTTGGTAAAACATGCCCCACTTAGAACATATGCTCTATGAAAGCAAGGACCTGTCCGTCTTGTTCACACCACCATCACCTTGAACAGTAAGGACTCAATGAATATTTGTTGAATGTATAAATAAAATATTATTACATTATTTTTGCTCTCAAAAAAACCCAAAGCCCACTGCTCTTGAGTCGATTATGACTCATAGCAACCCTATAGGACAGAGTAGAACTACTCCATAGGGTTTCCATGGTTGTAAATCTTTACGGAAGCAAACTGCCGCATCTTTCTCCCTCAGAGTGGCTGGCGGGTTCGAACCACTGACCTTTTGGTTAGCAGCCGAGCACTTAACCAGGGCTCCTTATTGCTCTCAGGGAGCTGATAATTTCATGGGTGCATGAATAAGAACATTATATGGTTATATATTGTATTTCTTAAAAAGCTGTATCAAGAGGTGTTAGAAGAGTGAACATTCTTTCATTTTAAATATTTTTTGTGGAAGAGGAGATGCTTGAACTAGGACTTGATAAATGGGTGAACTTTGGAAAATAAGGTGAAGAGAGAGACATTTCAAGAAGAAATAGCATGAGATTATACAGATAGGAAATGGTGGAATTCGATGTTGGAACAATAATATTCCATTTGCCACAAAAATAGGTTAAATATAGAAAAATTGTATTAAATGAAGCTGAAAATTTTTAATTGAAGTTATATTGTGGAACATTTGAATGTCTAGTGTGGTAACAAATAGGGAGCCATTAGATATTTTTGAGTACCTCGTTTGATGTATATTACCACCTGACTAGTTGGTATCTATTCATTACAAAATGATCTTTATGAAAATCTGTTTGGTAGTAATGTTTATTATAGATTGGAATTGTGAGAGACTAAAAGCAAGGTACACTTAGAAACTATGTCAGTCATCCAGGAAAAGGGCATAAAGTTCCGAGCTATAAGGATAATGTCCATTCCTCAGTGGAGAGGTCAGCTGAGAAGATGGGCTGACTCAGCCTGGAACATCAGGGACACTCTGAGCAGAAAGCTGGGTGTCAGAGTGAGAAGTTCAGTAGTGGGATGGGGCCGAAGTAAGTGAGCCAAAGAAGAGATTTCAAAGCAGTCACTAAAACATTGAAGAAAGCTCTACATTCCCTTTGGGGACTAGGGCATGGGTTTATTTTTCTCACATAAGGAGAAATGTGGAGAAGGCAGTTTCTGGTATTATTTGCATAATTCAATTTTGTTAGCATGTCTGTGAATGTGTACCTTCATGCCTGCAAAAAGGCTGATGCAAGTCCAGCCATTACATCTATATCAGCAGAAAGGATAAAGGGAGAATTAAACAAAATCTTCCCCAGGAATTTCACAGCAAACTTCTGCTCACCTTTCGTTGGCCAGACTATGTCACATAGACATCCCAGAGATGGAAAGGAACCAAGGAGAATGGCTTTACAAAGAAATGTTGGGTCATCTCACCAACAGGGTTTGCCACAAGTGCCAAGCAAACACCTGGGCAGACAAAGAGGGAAAAGCAGGGATGACATTAGTCAGAAAGAGACTGAGATAGAGATAGAGAAGTCTTGAAGCAGAGGGCGGGAGATGGATTTGATCTGTATTGGATTTACCTCTAGACCCCATAGCTATAGATGGAGTTATGGCCAGTGTGATCTCTAAAGTTGTGTGTCAACTTGGCTGGGCCATGATTCTCAGTGGTTTAGCAGTTACAATGTAGTTTGGCACTCATATGATGATGTATCACCTGCATGATGAGATTTGGTACAATGTGATCACCTCCACGATGCGATCTGCTGTGAGTAATCAGTCAGTTCAAAGGGAGTTTCCTTGTGGGTTTGGCCTGCATCCAGTGTAGGTGGACTTTCTGGCAAGGCTCAAGAGTGTTTGCTCACTCTGGATCCTGCAGCTGGCTGCTGTTTGTCTGACTTCTGG